TGTGAGTGTGTGTGTGTGAGTGAGTGTGTGTGTGAGTGAGTGTGTGTGTGTGTGAGTGTGTGTGTGCGTGCGTGAGTGCGTGCGTGCGTGCGTGTGTGTGTGTGTGTGTGTGAGTGTGTGAGTGTATGTGTGAGTGTGTGTGTGTGTGTGTGTGTTAGGGGTAGGGTTGGTGTAGGGCAATAGAATATATATATATACACTAATTCCGAGTATGGGTCACCATACTTGGCCACACTTCACTTCATTATAATATAATATAATATTTCCCACAATTCTACATAGGTACAAGCTATTTGTAGATTTAACTCTGGTTACCATTGTGTTACTATAAAAAAAATTGAAATAATTATTAAAATGAGTTTTCCAATAATAAGTGTGCCTTTTCACTCATATGGCTTATGCACATATGTCTTGTTTGTCTGCTTTATTTTCAGGCATTCCCATCAAAACCACCCTAGACAACTCAACAACAGTGCAGTACGCAGGACTGCTGCATCAGCTGACTATGAAAGCCCGGAGTACAGTCAGAGACATTGACCCCCAGAACGACCTGACATTTCTGCGCATCAGGTCCAAGAAACACGAGATCATGGTGTCGACAGGTGGGTCCTGTCTCGCTTATCAGGCTGTTAAACGCTTATATAGCTCTCACCCTTTCCCCGTTTTCCTCCAGATAAAGAATACCTGTTGATCGTCATCCAGAACCCAGCTGAATAGTGTCACGATGCTATGTTTCACACAGACACATGAACCAAATGTTATTCTTTAAAGCATGTACATTTATTGTACATGAAATGCATCAAAAAGTTTGGTTGTTCAGTGTGATTGATTGCATGTAAAGTCATCAATAAATAAGTTAATTGTTTCTTTATTGTGGAGTATGGGTCTTTAAGGCCTTTAGTTTTTAAGGTCATTTTTAGGAAGTGCAATTCATATCATCTCCACAAGATGGCAGGAGATCAAGCAGATGCTTTGCATTGCTGCTCATTTGCTTCTGTGAAAAATTGCTGGTTTAATTAGTGATGGGAAGTCCGGTTCTTTTCCGCGAACCGAGTGGGCGTGTACGTTCATTATCCGGCTTGCTGCACAGATGCTGCTCTGCTCGTGTTCATCTCTTCACAGCAGTTCAGTCAGTGTACTGTTTGAGTAAATTAATTACTCCGGGATATTGGTTTATTTCGAATCAGAGGGAGTGTCAGCCACGTTTAAAAAGTGAATAACTTAAGTAATTTGTGGATTAATGCTTACACTTTTCAACGATTCAGTCCGATTTGGTGAACTGGTTCAACCGGTTCACTAAGAAGAACCGGTTAAATCGAACGATTCGTTCGCGAACCGGACATCACTAGGTTTAATGGGTTGTGACAACGGTGGTCTGGTTTATTGTGCTCTTACTGTAGTATTAAGATAATTGGTTTGTATGAATGTCTGTCAACCACACTAAAAACATAAAGCACATTTAGTAGAAATATATGCTGGATAAATATGGTTATTAAATGTGGTCGGTGTGGTGGATTTGCAGGTTTGGCTGGTTCATATGTCACTCAGGAGCTTTGTTTGAGCTTCAGCTGATTTGCGTGTTGTGTGTTTGCGTGTATGTGCCTGAGGGTCAGTGTTGTCTTTTGAAAAGAGCAATGCAGCCAGAACATTTGTGCTCTAATTACTCTAACACAATCATTTCTTTTCCTTTTCTGCCTTGAGCTTTTTCTTCTGGTTGCAGTTCTACTGGTTTTTACCCAACAAATCTATTAAGGCACTTTCCATGAACAGTGCAGCCTGTAAATTGGCATCCAATAAAGCAATAAAGGCACAAATTCCATGTTCTGTTAAGTGATTATCTAATAAAATAAAGATGAGGCATGAAAAACAGCAAGTTAATAGTGGTCTTGTGTCTTGTCCTTTTCTACTGCATCCAAAAATAAAAATCCTAAAATATTGTAGAAAATAATAATAATAATTGTTGTTGTTGATGATGATGTTGTTGCTGTTTTTACTTTAAATAATAATATACAAATACTTTATTGTTGTTTTTGTTATAAATAATTAATCTACTACTACTACTAATTATTATTATTATAAATAATAATTATACGTTTTTCTGCTACTTAATATTATATTATGATGATGATAATGATAATTATTATTATAAATTATTTCCTACTATTATTACTACTACTACTACTACTACTACTACTACTACTAACAACAACAACAATAATTATAATAACAATTAGTATTATTACCAATTATTATTATTATTAATTAGTTATTGTTATTACTACTACTACTGGGAATAATAACAATAATAATAATAATAATATCATTAATAACTATTATTCTTACATTCTTTTACTTTTTTAGCTTTTTAAATAATAACACCTATTTATTAATTACTATTACTAATCTAATTATTATAATATTATAATAATTTTATAATATTATTATAATTTTTTTACATTATTTTATTTTTTATTATTTACTAATCTTATTTTAATGGCAAAATATATTTAGTTGTATCTCACATTTGAATGCAACCTTGTTAATATAATTTAGTTTCAGTTTTTACAAAAATTGCATTCAAAAGAGCAACATATCTGTCCTCTTTGCAAAGTTTCTATAGTTTTAGTTAAAGAATTTATGTGTTACACAAGTTATGTTTTGAAGACCCAAATTTGGATAGAAAAATAATAAAATAAATAAAAATAATAATCAGGACATGTAATATTTAGTTTGACTCCATGAGGTTGACAAAAAAAAAAAAAGAATAAATAAAAAAAATCAATCAATCAATCTGAAGGTTGAGCACTTCCTGATATTGTGTTTTATGACCTCTGGCCATTGTAAAAGTTTCAGGCCCTATTTTGCATCCTATTCGTAAAAAAGTGCAGTGTTCAGCTTTGAAATATGTATGTGTATCTAGTTCTTGTACCTCAAGCTGCACACCTGAAGCATGAGAGCGGTGCTGCTTGAGTTTCCCACTGCTGGACTGACCTCTGCTCGGCTCCCATCTGCTGTCTGTTTTACATGCCCAGCGCTGCCAATTGGCACTCACAGCACGGGGCAGAGAGCCAGCAGGTGGACCCGGATCTCGTGTTCAGAGACCAGCTCCTGTGCACAGCCCCGTCAAACAGTGTGTCCGTGCAAGATAATTAAGCAGAGGATTAATGATGATGGGCCTAATAACAGCATATTACACAGAAATGGTGTGTTTGCACTTACGTGTTGTATATCATCACTTAAAAGTGCATGTGGTTGTAGTGAAGAGCTGGAGGCGGTGTGTTTCTATATGTCTGCCGTGTGTCTGGTGTTGGTCAGAACAACAGTGTGCTTTAGTTTCAGTGAGAGAGGAGGAGAGCTTTGAGAAGACTGGGGTTTGGACTTCACTGGATGACAATAAAGTCTGGCTTTTATTCACATTTGGTGAGACTGGCTGTTCAAAAGTATAACATGCTCTGAAAAGGCAGTTGGATTTCAATATAATGTTTTCATCCTCCAAAGCTCAGAGTCCTGTATCTTTATCTGTTCTCCCTCTTCAACCTGCTCCGGTTTCTCCAGCGGGCAGCAATGATCTCATTTAAGCTCATTTGTACCTAATTTGACCCCTAAAGTGTCTTTCGTTGGTGTAACTTAATGTAGTCAGTCATGTTAGGTATGATTAATATGATTGAGTCACATTAATTTAATTTGTTTCTAAAATGAAAATGATAAATTAATTATATTATATATTATAATATATGTATTTTATAAATAAAAATTATTCAGCTTTCATTGGTGTGAGCTAATGTAGTCATATGCAGTAATTTTACATATTTATCATATTATTTTGTATGATTTATGTATGATATTATTTTTAATCTATTTATTAAATAAAAATTATGTCATTATTTTTTTTATTTTATAAATAAAATTATTTGACCTTTATAGTTACTTTCATTAGTCTAATGTACTGTAGTCAGATTCAGTCATATTAAATATTTATCATCCTATTTAAATTATTTATTTACTAAAAATATTTTTAAATTTATAAATAAAAAAAGACATTTAATGTTACTTTTATTAGTGTAACTTAATTTAGTCAGATTAAGTCTATTTATTTATTTATTTATCCAAGATAAAACTAATAAAATATATATATATATATTATATATATACTGCTAGTGTATCTTAATTTGGTCCGTTTGAGTCATATTAAATATGAATAATGTTTCAGTGAAATAAATTGTTTTTATAATTTTTTTTATATTATTATATGTTATTTATTTATTTCTATGATGATGATAATGATTATAATAATAATTATTATTATTATTGATTTCATAAATAAAATGATTTGACCCTTAAAGTAACTTTCATTGGTGTAACTCAATGTAGTCAGTCAGTGTAGTCAGAGTCAGTCATATTAAATATTAATAATGTTTCAGTCATATTAAATATTTGTATTAGTTGTTTTATATTATATTATTAATTTTAAATTAATACATTAATTAATAACATTACTTATAATTTTTCTTTTATTATTTTGAGATATATTTTTTATTAAACTTTGTTGTGTAATGCCCTGAATGACGCCTGAAGTCATGTGGTTTGTTGAGGAGAGGTGTGCTGTTACTTTATTAAGTGTTCTGACTTACATTGACCTGAGACTTTCGGGTGACCCAGTAAGCATCAACACCCTAGTAACCACCCAGGACAACCTAGCAACCGCATAGCAACATGCGGCAACCACTCTCAAAATCTTAGGTATGTGGTGCTGAGTTTTGCATGAACCAAAAAAAAAACTGTTTTTAGTATTTAAAAGGATAAAACAATAAGCTAATATGAACAATGACTTGAATATGACCCTTGACCCATCTGTTGACTGCTGTAGGACTGTGTGATGAGTTTAGTGCTTCAGCGTCTCATCTGACAGCTGCTCTGAGAACAGCTGATACGCTGCAGCCTACAGGACGCTCTATATTACATTACACTGCTTGCATACAATCATAGGATCCTACTCATTCTAGGGATGTAATGATTAACCGCGAGCCGGTTGAAAATCGATTCAAATATGTGACGATTTAAATCGGTTGAGATGCTAAACAAATCGCGATTCATTTAGGGGTAGGAGTTTATATGAATGCATGTCTGAGAGGAACTTACTGACTTTAGAAAAGTTTAGATGGTATTTTTTCTTTTCATCTTGCCTCTGTATAATGCATATTAAAGTTCATAAGAGCAGCGCTGCTTTGTTTACAGCCGAAACCAGGAAACGCTTTAAGTGCCACCTGCTGGCAGAGAGTGAATCTGCGTCTCGTTCAGCTCGTCTGCTGTTTCTGTTTCATGCAGATATTTTTATGTATAGTTTCACAAAACTCAAGTCAAACCATTCTGTTTTTGCTTCAAATTTCGAAATTATACAATCTAATTTGGATTAAAAACTGTTCATGTTGCATGCATGCAGCATCTTTGTTTGGATCATGATTAAAATGCAGTGGTTTCCTCTAATTTTACATGGAAAGAGCACAGACAAAGCCTTATTTTGTTTATATGAAGAGATTTTTTTTAATTTGTGTTACTTATTTGATTTGAGGCTTGTTTTAAAATTTCAATTTAAGTTTTAAATCGTGAATCTAATCGAATCGTGAGTTGAGTGAATCGTTACATCCCTAACTCATTCCACTCATTTGAACGTTGGTTTTTCATTTTTTTTTAAACAGTGCCATTCTGGAATTTTTAGAATTAAAATAAAAAAAATATTTTTCCAAACACGCTGCAGCTGAATTTGGACGACAATTCACCTTTTAGTGCAAATCCTGTTCTGTAAACACACAGTTCAGTAATTCAGGAGTCACAACAGCATTCTACAACCAAACTGAGTCAGGAAAAATGCAGGTAGTGACAAACGCATTTACAGAAAATTTGCAGTGTTTACAGAAAAAAACTGAACAACTAGTTGTTAACGATGTATCAGAGTTGTGTCTCTTCTGTATGTGGTGCATGAAATCATACGGTACGCTTGGACTCATTAGTGTTGCCAGATCTTGCTAGAAAATCAACAACAAATAAGAACAAGCCCATGATAAACTCAAATCCAAATGCGTTATCTTGGAATTAAGCCATGCTAAAATATAGAGACCTGCACTTGTGATAGTGGTTTACATAAAATCGCAGAACATAATGAGTCTTTGGCCGCTGTAATACCGTACTTTTGTCAAAAATAACGGATGCCCGAGCACGAGAAGCCAGAACATTGCTAAGCAATCATCGCCGTTTCAAGAGTGAGTTCTGTTCCATAATGTAGGGGTTCACTCATGTAATTAAATGCGGTTGTGACTCCTGAAACTCTAAAGTTTGTACGTGACCATTAACGTATATGTCTAATGCGTACAGAGTGT